TTATTTGTTAGGACTCATTTATTAGAGCAATTTAAGTGCACAAATGTTCATTGCAAGATACCATGATAAAAGAAGCAAAATCCCATTAACAATTAAAGTTCAAGACTGAAGCAGTTAAACTGGATTTTAAAAGAGAGAGAGAGAGACTTTCCCATCATGCTTCCAACTAACTCTCCAAGGCAATCACTTCTGACTGTAATAGTATAAGGAAAACAAATGGCAGCACACTAAGAGAACTGCAAAACACTGAGATGCACTGGGGAAAAATATCCTCAAGTGTTATATGAGATAAGCTGAGACATATTCCAGAATGCATATAGTACACTACATGTGGTCTCTGACTAGCAATTACCAAGCTATAGAAAAAAAAAGTGATGGACAGAGATTGAAATTGACAACAAAAGAAGAAACTTCAATCTAGAGATGTCTTAAGTGTCAAAGTGTGTACTCATTGGAGAAAGGATGACCAAAGAACTAGCAAATAGATCCAAAATATATATTTTGACTTCTTTTTTTTTTTTTTTTTTGTTCAAGCAAAATGCTGAAACTTCTTGTACCTTGTTCTCTTCATCTCTAAAGTGTGTTAAACTGTTTTTGTTCTTTGCTCATGTTTAAAACCATCTAAAGTCCCTTTCAAAAACTGTTGTAGAGCTAAAAAGAAACATCTGTATCTATTGTTTTTCATATAGAAAAGTATTTGAGCTTAGTTGCGCTTACATAGTACTGGAAGCGTATTTGTCTTTAAGACCATCTTCTAATGCATCTGGGAAAGTTTGGATTAAATCAAACTGTGTGGTAGCAACTTCTCAAAGAGAGTTAAAAGAGACTGGGTACAGAGAATATTGTACTATAATAATAATAATAATAATAATAATAATAATAATAATAATAATAATAATAATAATAATAATAATAATAATAATAAAAGATGGCCATGCTGCCAACAACTTTTTTACATCTCCATAACCCACCATTACGGAGAGTTTCTAGCAATATTTAAACTACAAGACTTGGAATCACCTTCAGTATGTTGGTGCAAATCAGATAGATTTGACATACTTTCATGAACATCATAGTGAATTTTGCCAGTTGGTTAAGAAATGTAGGGTTTACACAGTTATACGTTCAGAAGTAAAGGAATGTTATCACTAGTAATGTCTACACAACATTAATTCAGCCTATCCATGTGATGAGCACACAGTGTCTGAAATTACATGATCACATGCTGTTTTCTCCCTACAAGATCTGTTCATATAAAATACACAGAATGGGGGATATTCTCTAAATGAAAATGAGTGTCTGTATAGCAAATGAAGCTTATTTCTCCAGATTCCTTCTTAATCTACTGCAGAAACGTTAAGGTGTGCGATGAGTGAGACAGGAAGAGAAAGAGACCAGACCCACAGTTAAAGCAGACGAAGCAGTTAAATTCCATACTAGTGAATTAGATTCTACCTGTCTTGAGCTCCCACGCAATCCTAGGCAACTGCCCAGATTTAACTTTAAACAAAATTTTTACAGTCAGTCACTAGTTTTTCACCTCTCATCTCCAGTTTTCATGGTTCACAGCTAAGTTTAGCTGAAATAGTGCAGAAGTAGTAAAAAGTACACCTTTGATGCACTGCCTACATCAGGTCAAATATCAAACTGCTGCTTTAAAATAGTAGGAAATACAGTTTCCCAGGGAAAGAATTAGGCCTTTGTCAAAATAAATGCACAGATATTATTTCCTAATTAAATTACTAAAAAAGGTTGAAGTTCTACCAAAAAATGTCATAATCTGATAGATTTACTAGCATGAAAACTCAAATAAAAGGAAGTTTAAAAAGGGGGAAAAAAGGACAAAAGGGAAAAGAGAAATCTCTGATAGGAAGTAAGAGCCTACCATTTGTGTAAATCATGCAATAAGCCATTCTACATATTGTAGAGTAATAGTCAGCATAGGAACTTAATATAAATGTTGGATATGCATGTTGGCTACAGCTATATTTCTGAATAAAATGAATAGCCAGATTAAGACTTTATAATGACATTGGTCTAAAATATTCATGGCTATTTTTATGCTGAATTGAATTGTTTTCCCCTTTAATAGTTGTGGATTACAGAAAATAAAGAAGGTTTTATATTCAGGACTGGACATCATTTTTCCCTTGGAGTTTTTTTTTTTTTTTTTTTTTTTTTTTTTTCCTGCTACGAAACTGCTTTTCATTTACATTTCAGTACCAGTTTTCTCTGGAAGCATTCTTCCTCACCTCACTACCCATCAGTGGTGGATTTCAGTTTGACGTGTGTACACTCATGGTGTACTGGTGTCCTGTGTTCCACTTCTTCTCTGCTGGTTGGGCACATCATGTGGGCTGCACCTGCAGGTTTGCAGGATGTGCAGAAGATTCATGTGAACCATAAATTAATTCAGTAAGGAGGAAGATTAAGACAGCAGAAAAATACCATACTCTGGAGACATTACAATTTAGATGACTTATACTTCCATTCCTCTCTAGCTGCAGTTCCTACTCAGACTATAGTAAACCTGCATCTCAGTGCTCAGATCTGGAAGGTCAAAATAAAAATGAAGAAAAATATTTTACTAAATAACTTTGTTTATGTTAATTAATCTCAAACCAGTGACTACTATTCTTTATGGTGGTTACAACTGGTTTTGAAGGAAAACTACAGTGAAAAAGTATTTGCTGTATAGGATATATATTATTGATGAAGCTGAAACTGTTACTCAGTGCTATCTTCACTAACAAACATCTTTGGTCTAAAAAGCAAGGAAAATGTTAACTGTTGCCTTTACTCTCTTAAACCTTACATATGATCTGCCAAATTTAGGATAATTGGACACTTTCAGAAGTCATGAGACAGCCTATGACACAGCTTGGGTCTTTACAAAGTCTTACGAGATGTTCACTGAACTACAAGAAAAGATACCTCATCGTTGCCTGTAAAATCTATCATGTGTGCTGAACTCTCAGTAAGCACAGCAATATAAAGAAAGAAAAGTCACTGTGCAGGTGGATGGCATATATTAACAAGGGCCTCATCTTCCTAGGATTATCTCAGGATACCACATAGTGGGTAAATCTGAGTAGGAACTGAGTGCAAATTCCAAACACTGTTGTCTGTGTGACTGAAAATATAATTCCAAAAGATGCAAACTTTCTGGAAAGCTTGCAGCTTGTTCAGTCTGAAGTCTAATGATGATGTATATTCAAATGTCACCGGTTAGCTATTGTGCTGCTGATCCTTTGAGCAGAAATGTCTTATTCCACAGTGTTTATCCTGTAATCCCATACTGTCAACCCAAGAATCAGAACTCCCAACAGCCAACTTGCCTCCAGCTATTTTATCTCCTCAGCAGCTTTCAAGAGGCTGTAATATACTGTCAATACAAAAGCCACTGGCTTATTGACGGGTGGAGGGGAAAAAAAGGGAGATTTAAAAAAGCTGCATTAAATACCAAGCAAGGTAGCACAGGAACTACTTAATGGATTATTACTAGTTTTCATATGAAATGACCCAAAAATATTTTAAAATAAAATAAGTGGAAGCTATTAATTATTGTGTTAAACTTACTAGGTTCTTCATTTGAGATGATAGGTCAGCACTTAGATCAAATTTTTAGTGTGTAATATAGGTTATGATCACTGTAATCTATGGGTTTAAGGAACATAGGAATATCTGGACCAAATGCCTAACCCCTGTTTAAGGAATCTCACTTTTCCAAGGTAATACAGGAAATTTGTTTCAAATTCAGTTGTCTGTTTGCTTACCTACTGTAAGCCCTTTCTTTCACAAAGCTGTAGGTCGTTGTAGCCTTGATTCTCTTCTCTGAAACTATGCAGTAAAGACCAGCCTTGTACAGGGCACGGCATATCTTTATGGTGGCAGGTGACCACTCCTTCCGAGAAGGTTACAGCTTTCTATTTTTAATCTGCATCAAGCTGCTTTGGACCCGCTTTCATGTGAGGAGACACGCATGTGAACTTGTCAAGGCTTTAACCACTAGGGGGCTGTGTGAACACAATGTTTTGGGTGGTTCTTGGCCCTTCACTGGTTCAAAAGGGCAAATGCGTTTTAATGTACAATAAAATGTGACTTTGAAATAATGAACTAGGTTTTACTTATCTCTCCCCTTTGATAGAAAATGTGTCAAGTCGTGGCTTTAAAAGTCCTGTGATTTTTTTTTTTTTTTTTTTAGAATGTTCATAAATGACTCAAAAGTTTACTTGGTCATATGTACTCCTATAAAACAAAAAACCTTTTGAATCGTTGTCTGAGCCTGAAACACGCTCTCTACAGCTCAAGGCTCAAAACTAATCCTAAAATGTGGGCACTGTAAGACCCGTCCACCAGCTGATGTGTGTGGTACGCCTGATGAAGATATCTGGGTAAAACCCAGGGAACAGAACCAGCTTTCAGAGATAATCTTGGGATACATCCAGCCGGTCGTTGTGAAAACCTACTTTTGGAGGCAATATAGGTCAGCTCCCCTCCCCTCTTATGGCAGGCATAGGAAATGCAGAAACGACGAGGACGGGCTGCAAAGCCTCGTGTCTCGGCACCTCCCGGCGGTGTGCCGCACAGCCCCAGGCTGCTGCCCGGCTCCCCTGCCTGACCCCGCTCCTGGTCAGCGCCTTCTGGGGCAGCGCTGTCGCAGGATCCCGCCCCCACCCCGCGTTCGCACGGACCCCGCGGGGCGAGGGGCGCCGCTCCTGACCCCCGCCCTCAGCGCCCTGACGGGGCAGCCCAGGAGGGGGCCCGGGGGCAGCCCCCTCAGCCGCCGTTTCCCGGGGGGGGGGGTGGGCGGCACGAACCAGCGCCTAACGCCGAGTAACGGCGCTAACGGCGCGGCGCCGGCCGCTGCGCTACGTGTGCGGCTCGCGGGCGGGCAGCGGCGCTCCACGCCCGCTCCCCCCCACCCCGCACCCCCCCGTCCTCTCCTCCTCTCCGCCCCGTCCCGTGCGCGCTCCCGCCGCGCGTGTGCGCGCCCCGTGGCGGGCGAGGGCCGCGTTCGGGCGCGCTTGGCGCGGCGCTGGCAGGGGCAGAGGCACTGATGTGACTTCTGGGTCTGTTCCCTGCGAGCGGACACAACCGTGACGGCTCACCTCCTCCTCCCTCCTCCCCTCCTCCCGGCACACACACACGCACACACACGCGCGCGCTTACAGAACCGAAAAAAAAAAAAAAAAAAAAAAAAAAAAAAAAAAAAAAAAAAAAAAAAAAGCCACCCTTCCTTTCACAATTTTTTTATCCCTCAGATCCCCGCACCGCGCTGTGCTGCAGCCGCCGCCACCGCCGCCAGCGCCGAGCCCCGGGAGCTGATGGAGCAATGGGTGGGGAGCGCTGAAAGCGGCCGGGCGAGAGAGAAAACTTTGCGCCTTGCCTAACTTTCCGCCTCCCTGCTAACGCTCTCCCCGCGGCTCTCTTCCCCGCCGCGTCCCTCTCCGCCCTCCACCACCTTCCTCCTCCTCCTCCTCCTCCTCCTCCTCCTCGCCGCCTTCTCCCCGCCGGGGCCGGCCGGCGAGGCAGGGGGAAGCGTGCGAGGAGAGGGGCGCCCCGGCCCCGCGCTGGCCGCCGAGGTGTCGGCGGGCGCCGGGCGGCTCTGACAGCTCGGCCCCGGCAGGGCGAGCCTCGGGGCGGGGGGACGGGGCCTCAGCGAGCCGTGCCCGGAGCCCCCGGGCACCGCGGGGCCCCCTCGGCCCCCCCTTTCCCCCCCCCCAGCCGCCTCCCCTTCCCCTGCCCCAGCCGAACGGCCCCGCACCACCAGACCAACCTGTGGAGGCTCTGACCCCAACCTGGGTCCCTCCTCCCATCACTTCCAGCGCTCCGCTGAAAGCTGTTTTCCCTTCCTTTCCCTCCGCTGCTCGGGCTGAACTTTGGGGGCTGAAGTTTTGGAAGAGTCAGAGGGAGAGAGGGAGAGGCGAGAGGAGAGGCTCTAGCTACTGCTGCTGCTGTGCTTTTTTTTTTTTTTTTTTTTTTTTGGGGGGGGGGGAACAAACAAACAAACAAACAACAAACTATCGTTTTTTTGTTTTTGAATTCTCGCTGTGTTTTTTAGTTCAAACCACCTGAAGCTGTGAGGGCGAGAAAGAGAGAGGAAAGTGGGGAGGACGAAGGGGAGGAAGGAGAGACGGAGAGAGGGCAAAGAGAGAGAGGCGCTGAGAGCCCAGAGGCAGCAGGAAGGGTGCAGGCACTGCCGCTGAGAGGAGATCGAGAGACAGGGGGTGCACTTGACAACCAGCATGCAGAGATGGTAAGAAGTTTCCAGCAGCCTTTCGTTTTCATTCTAGCCTTTACTTCGGTTTGATTTGATTAATAAATCGTGCAGCAACACAAGCAGCCCTGCTCGCTATCCGGTGTGTTTCAGCCTTCAAATAAACAAGCAGCTGGGCAGGCGAAGGAGGGGGGCAATAAATAAATAAATCAGCCTCGTGCTGCTTGGATTGGGGGAAAAAATGACTAAGAGGCTGTGCTAAACTTTCAGTGAGTTTGGGGGTTGAAACGGGATGGCCACATGCTTTTTTTACCGCCTCCTTCTCTCCACTAAAGACGAGGGGATAGTGTGTGTGGTTTTTTTTCTTTCTTTTTTTTTTTTTTTTTTAAAGTGTGTGTCTATGGAGGGAGGGAGAGCGAAGGTGGAGTGGGGTCGAATTGGACATACGGTGGTCTGATCTTTTTTGGACACCACCTCCTGCTCGGAAACGAGTAAGGTTTGCACACAACGTGAAGGTAACCTCTGCGAGTGGGGGAAGGAGCTGTGTGTTCGCGTGTGAAACAGCGCCTGAGGCAGGGAGACAGAAGTGTAAATCCACCTTCCCTCCGTAACTCTTTTCTTTTTGTTGTGCATGTGCTTGCAGTTTGCACCTCTCCAATCAGCGATTGTTAACAGGACTGGTAGAGCTGTGTGGATGCGCTGGCTGTAGGAGGGAGGGGGGAGCCCCAAAAGCCAACTTTGAGCAAGTTCTTGCCGCGTGTTTCATGTGCTGTGCAATCGCACATCTCTTTTTACAGCAGGCTTTTTGCAACGCACGGTTTGGGTTTCCACCGCCTCTTAATTAAAAATAATAATAATAATAATAATAATAAAAAATCGAAACGACCAAGGACCTCGTTTGGCTGAAGTCCTCTTGTCCGGGCTTTGATGTGAAGATAGGTTAAACAGCTGCGAAGAACAAACATGTCCAAAGAGCCGTGACTGCTCGTACACGCGTAATGCTCACTGCTCGCCTTAGTGAGTGGACCGACCTCAGTCGGTGATGAGCAGCGCTCAACCCATACTCACCGAAGTAGTGTATTTTCAGATGCAGCTTGATTACTTCCTTGCTTTCCATCATCTTTTGCCACCTCACCCCAGGGTTGGTGTATGTTTGTCTGGTGTGCCTTGCATATACATATGCTGGCGCGCGCACACATGCCTACACGTACATATATGTGTGTGTTTACGCACATAGATGCATGTATACACATGGCACTCGGACTATAGGTACAGTGTATCTCTCTGTGTGAGTGAAGGGAGAGCTTGAGATGGAGGGTTTGTGTTTTTCCCTTCTCTCCCTTACATGACATGTCTTGTTTCAGTGATCAAAGCCACAATTGGAGTGTAGGAGATGCAACTGTCAAATGTAGGCAACAATAAAAAAAAAAAAAAAAAAAAAAAAGGAAAAAAAAAAGGGAGGGGGAAAGAGCAGCATGTGCCTAGGACTGTGGTTACAGTAACGCTGACAGAAATTAAAGTGGTTTTGAAAGCAGCATGCGATTTATGATGGTTCCCATTTACCCTAGAGTCAAGCTGTTGTAAAATTGATGCACAAAAGACATCATGTAATAATCTGGTGTACCCAGGATTAAAGTGGCAATGAGTGTCTTTTTGTGTGTGTGTCTGGCCGACAGTAACAATGGTTTGAAGCAATTTTTAAATAAGAAGTCAGAGCAGAATATTACATATTTCTTTTCTCAACCTGTATGTAAGCCATGCATAGCTGTTGCTGAAATATTTTTAGGTGGAAGCAGACTTTCATTTCTCGTTATCTTCCATTTCGTATCTGTATTAAAGCCCACCTCCGTGGACAGGAATTTTAAAATGGGGTAGCATTTTTTGTCATATATTCGGAGTACAAATACTTGCAGTGCAGTTACTGAGTTCATGTCAGACAGTACCATTTGATAAGCCTGGTTAGCAGATCTGCACAAGAATACCAAGTTCCTGTAAAAGTATGTGGAACGTTCCTTGCCCTTAAAAACGACAGGAATTTTTAATCTGAAATTTAATGGGGCATATGAGCTGTCTGATACACTGCAGTTTCATTTTAAGCTGCCCATTATTAATGAACCATCTAGCCGTATGTGTGTTCTGCCTTAAATTCCTAAAGCACAAGAATTTTAAAATTCATGTATTTATGTAATTAAATATTTCAAATGATCTGTCGTTGCCTGATTCAGATGCAGGAAAATCTAAATGTAAATTGCACGCTAATTTGTTACAAGCAAATTTTGAAACTCCTTGTAAAACTTGGGAGTGTGAAAGTGTCCCTTAAGCACACACATCTTATATACATAATAGGAGAACCTTGCCTTGGTACATTATTTTGTGAAAATGCAACACTGACATTTTAGGGGAGCAAACTCTGCAGGTTCCTATTTTTAAGAACACTGTATTTTTGTTATTGAGGTATCTGTGAAAGACAGACATGTGATTACATTAAACAAAGTAAAGGAACAGACAAAAGCAGAGATGACGGTTGCTATATTAAAATGTAAGTGTTACAGTTTGAATTTTCTAGTGAGTTTTTGAGTTCAGTGCTTTACATAACATTTTGTCCTAATCTTGCTTGCTGTCAGAGATGTTTCATGGTTGTGCAATTGCTGCAGTCAAGAATGCCAATTTGCATTCCAGGAGTGTCATTTGATTACTTTTATCTGCACAGCTCGAAGACCAGCCCAGACCTCTCATTTCATCTTGCCATGTCACGAGTCAGTGCTGTGTCGTCTTTTCAAAAATCTGCCTGATTTAGACAAGAAAGAAAAGTACTTTCATGTTGCAGCCGCAGTCCCCTGCTAACTTGTCAGCAGCAGGATATGATTCACTTGGGCCCAGAAGAATGGTACAGAGACGAGGGTTAGGCAGTTCAATAAACCCATGGACAGGTAGTGTGTGACGTCCCAAGAGAGCTTAAGTTAATGAAGAACAGGTCTGCTTAGTTCTTCACACTCTGACCTGGTGCTGTCCCCACAGTTTTCTCATTTGATCTTTCCCAGCAAATTGATCTTTTCTAGTACTTTTTTGCCTTCCAAGTTAGTCCTTGTGGGACTGAAATTAGCAGAGCAACTTAAGTTGGATAATACAGCTGTTCAGAAAAGAAGAAATTGGACACTAGCTCATAAAGGGGGGAGGGGAAAGTAAGCTATTCTTTCTGTTAACTGAGTTTTCCTTTTTTGTTTTTCCTAGTTTTATTTTAGAAAACTTCACAATAGCCATATTACTTTTGAAGTCTGCTTTCTTTCTTATTTATAGGCTGTATGGATGGTCCATTGCATGCTGCATTAAATGTGTATCCTTTAAATAAAACAAACATGCTTGCAGCGTAGACTGCAGGTTTGCTTTGGTATTTGTCAGTTGAACTTGCTTGTTAGAAATGATTTGCTAGTCTGTAATGAGGCTTTTACAGTTGTCGTAAGACATTTTAAATATCAATTGCACATGCCAACTACATTATTTATAGCCTGCTAAATAACTGTAATTCCATAGTATCTAATACTGAAATGCAGTGGAGATTAAACAATAAAAGCCATTACAAATGGTATGTGTAAATATTATGGTAGGTGAAAATACAGTCAGCAAATTACCACTGGCATTACTGGTTTTCTGGAAAACCAGTGTATACAAACAAATTGGTTTTGAACTAAGACACTCTGTACTTGAAATCTGTGTTCTAAAATGGAACTGTAGTATTAGTTGTCATTCCTTTACATTATTTTGCACTTAGTAGTTGAAAAGTGCAGTGGAGGTGCGCTCGAGTATGTGTCTGTAGGCGTGTGTGTGTGTGTTTAAATACATACATGGCTAGCTTGTCAAACAATGTAAGATTTCAAACTGGAATTTTGTAAATAAAGTGTAAGTTGGAAATGATTAAGAGGGTCTTTAGTATGCTCCACAATAATAAGCAGTATTTAACTTTATGTATTTCATAGCAGATGTTCTCACATATTATCCATGTCCTTTCGAGTTGTAGAATTGAAAACTGCTGAATGAAAAGAACACTTATTATGTAAGGGAAATAATACTCTTGCTCCTTTTTAGTATTGCTTTTGAAAATGGGAAGGAACTGTAAAGGGTCATTGGTCAGTTTAGCTCATCTGCAGAGCTAGAGGGAGCTTCATGATTTTATTAGATATGCCTAAGGTGGAAAAAAAAAAGGCAGAAAAATATTCTGAATAAGGGCATAGTGATTCCTAACTTTTTTTCAGAGCCAAAGATGTAGCATTTAGTCTTCAAGGTGACTATTCTATAGTGGATATACATATATGTTGAGGCTGACTGCAGATGTCGGCAATTTCAAGAAAAAAATTACTGTCAGCAAATTAATAGCATTAAAAGAAGTCCATGTAAAATGCTGGATTTTATACGAAGACAAAATTTATATTTTTCCCTTAAATATGGGTGTTTCTGGCAGTGTTCCTCCTCCTTTTGCATATTGGACACTATCAATAGAATTTCAAGTCTTTTCTTCACTGTATATTTTTTTAATGAAAAAGTCCTGACTCTTGATCTGCAGGCTAGCATGGCCTTTGTTTTAATCTAACTATTAGTATGTGTTGGGAAAAATAAAATTACACATATCTGGAAATACAAAAAGTTCCCCATAAAATATAAAACAAATAGAGTATATCTGTCATCTTGGAAATGTGTATCACTTCCTAATCTAGCCAGGAATTTGTACTTAATTTAGAGAAATAACGTTTAACATGGCTTAATAAAAAGCATCTGTTTGAACCTTGTATTCTGTGTCAGTTTCATCCCACCTAAATTCTGACATATTTGTTCTAAAACTGCATTGATCATAATTGCTGCTTAATAGTTATATGGCAGCTTTTATAAGCATTACTTTGGACAAACTTATTTACCATTTAAGTAAATGATATAATCCAGTGAGATAAACTACCAGATTTGTCTCCTTTATCTCTTGCACAGTAGCTCTCATTATGTGCCTTGCTAGTAAAAGCCTTTATTTGTTGATTATTAGAATCTTAGTACAC